GCAGAGATGGCTCTTAATTAGATAACCAGTTGTGTCTGCCACAGTGCTTCACCTGACAAACTCCAGTGTGGGGCCGGGTGGACTACAGGCTCAGCGAGGTTGCCTATAAGTCAGAGGCACACTAGCATCCAGAGGTGGCTGAGCCACACATGACGTGTCAAGCTCTGAACCAGCTTTGGGAGTATGCTGAAGCTCTTCCAAAGAGGGGAGCCAGGCTGGTAGGGGTGGGGTGGGGTAGGAGGTGGGACTAGATGTACTGCCATGAGAAGTGGGGTATTTAACTTGGAGAAGGTAAATGTCACAAGAGAATAGGCCATTTCACTTGGAGAAGACTTGGAGGCACCTGTCCATGAGAGGAACCATCCGGAATCCACAACAGAGGAAATTACTTCATGTGGCTCCGGCAGGCACAGCCAGAGCTGGAATGAATATTGTCTCAAGAGAAGGAAGACGTTACAGTTATTAGAGGTGGGCGAAGGGGTGACCTCAGAGAGTGAGGGTCCTGTAAATCAAGGCTGTGTGACCTGTTAGGGGAGCGGTTGAGGTGATTATTGCCGGGCGGGGGCGGGGGGGAGCAGGGGGTGAGGAGCCAGAGGCGCTCTAGGCATGGATGTGCAAGGGATGTGACCTTCAGAGCCAGAGGGTGCTGGGTGGGGCCTTGCCACTTTAGAGTTGTATGACCTTGGGCAAGTCCTCATCCTTTCTGAGTCTTGCCTTTCTCATCCGCCAAAATGAGGGTGACCCCTTTTTGCAGGGTAGTTGTGAGATTTATTAAGTCCGTGGGCACATAGTAGTTGCTCGGTAATGATGTTGCCTTAACTGCCTGGAGTTTCCTTCACCTTAGGAGAGAAGCTGGCACCAGTTGTACGGTAGCCCCTGGCAGCCAGAAGTTTCCTTAGAGCCTTTTCTGGCCTGGAATGAGGGCAGAAGGAGAGTTTTTACTCTGAAGAGGAAGACAGGGCACAAAAGCGCAGCAGCCCTGGTTTCCCAGGTTGGACCTGTGCGCGCTAGGAGGACAGTGCCTCTCAAACCCCAGCGCTGGGACCAGCACAAGGCTGGGAATGTGGGTCTTTTTCTGGCCACTCTGATCCAGTAGTCAGAGCAGAACGTGCTGTAGGAATGACCTGGTCACTCGTTCCCTCTTCAGGGAACGAGACCTGTTGAAGAGCGTTGACGTTGATCTGAGGATTTGGTCTGGGTCAAGCGCATGACCTTTTTCCCAGGAAGGGCCAAGGTCAAGGATTGTTGGCTGGACACTCTGCTGCCCTTGATTCAAAGGCCAGGGCTTTGGGCAGTGCTGGTCAGGGGCACGTGGTAAAGTGGGCAAAGCGTTTATAACCCTTGTCTTCTTTTGCTAATGGGTTCTGTGAACCTTGTCCGCCTGGGGGCTCCCCAACCCAGGGAACCCAGCTCATCAAGTGGTGTGGGGCACTTGCCGGCCCAGTCACTGGGCTGTGTTGCCAAGGAAACACCTGGTGGTCTGGTCAATGCTCAGAAAGGCGGGGGGGAGGGGGGGTGACTGTGGGACAGTCCTTGCTCTCAGGACCCTGGGTCTTTCTGAGCTTTAGTGCTGTGGTCTGCAAAATAGCTGTGTTAATCCTTACGGAAGTCACAGAGTTGTCCAATGACTCAAAGGGAGGCCAAAGTGAGAGAGTTTTGTAAATGGAAGATGCTGCTAACGTGGATTCTTGGGGAATTCATGACCAGAGAAGATCATGGAGCCAATTCTACCACAGCCCCGGCCCTGGGGGGCGGGCAGCACCACCCACAAGGCCCCCACCCCTGCAGCTGGGAGGCTGAGGGGCGGAGATGTGAGTCTTCTGATGTTTGTCCAGACCTAGATGTGGGAAATTTCCAGCATGCGAATGACTCAACTGCAGAGATTAGCAGCTTTCATCTGAAATCAGAGTCAGAGAGGCCCGGGCCCTTACTCTGTGTGCGTGGTGGTGGGGGTGGGGAGGGGCGGGTGGAAAATTAGGCTGTCTGGGTACTAATCCTGGCTACACCGCTATCTCGCTTCATGACCTTGAGCATTTCACTTCCTCTCTGTAAACAAAAATCCCTTCCTTTGAAAAAGAGGAGCTGGGCCAAGGGTCTAGAGGAGTGTGTGCATGTGTGTGTGTTTCTCTGCGATCTTTGACAGAGGTGGTGGCAGTGCCTGAGGCTGTTGTTCTAGCATCACTGTCACCTGGGCAAGAGAAAGGGACTGTGTCTATTATAGACTGGGAGGCTCAGGGGCCCCTTGGAAAATGGAGGCTGAACTGGCTTTGGGAGTGGGGGGCGGGCATCAGCTTCTCAGCAGATGGCGAGGGATGCCCTGGGGTGGGGCAGCTAGTGATCACCGAGGGCAGTTGCTCTTTCCTCTGGCAATGTCTGTCCTGAAGAAGTCCTTCCTTGTCCCTGGCCAGCCCTCACGGCTCCTGGCTTCCTGAGATGAGTTGTGGGATGTTGTTGGGCTTGGGGGCAACGCTGCACCCCTAGAAAGAGCTGGATGGTCCTGTGTGTGGGAGGATCGGGGTGGAACAGGGTTTCTTACCCCCATGAGAATCTGTCACCGTTGAAGGGCGACATTCTAGGTTACAATCCCCTGTCTCGCCAAGGTTCTGCATAAGAAATGACATGTCCTAAAACAGCGCTGTGACTCCTGGCAAACCTTTGCTGAAGCCATGGGCCAGCCTGGGGACAGGACACAGGAAGCTGGGTGACAGAGAATGCTTCAGAGCCACTGGGCCTGGGCTCAAATCCCAGCTCTGTCACCAACCCACTGTCCGATCTTGGCTCTGAGCCTTGGTTTGAGCTGACACATAATTGAGAATAAAATATGTATTTGGTAATGTCATGGCCTTCAGTTATAGAAGGACTTATAAACTAAACTCTTTTTAGAATTTATGAAGGCGGGGGGGGGGGGTGCGGGTCAGCCTTCTCTCTTCATCAGACAATGAGATTTCGATAGATCAGCATTTCCCAACGCGTGCTCTGCGGAACACAGGGCCTGAAGAGATACCACGCAAACAGGGCCTGGGGCTGGCGTGGGTTTGGGCACAGAGAGGGTAGGCAGAGGTAAGCAGCTGTGATCACTGCAGGGTTTTGCAGAACCTTTCTAAACTAAGATGCTTTGTGAAGCTCTGTGCCTGAGTGACATGCACAGCGTTTCCCCAGATTCGTCAGACCAAGGAAACCTTCCCGCAAGGAGTACCATGGGACACGTTTGGAGAAGAGATGCTGTTGTAGGCACCTTTCTCCTTTGGCTCCCAGGAAGCTTCTGTTGCCATCTGACGCTCGCATGGAGAAACCGTGTCAGCCAGGATCTTGTATACTGATACCCTGCCCCCACTCTGCTTTCATTGTTGTACATGTATTTTTTAGGACAGGATGCCTCAGATGCTGTGCGGAAGTGAGGAGGGCGGGCTGGCATCACCTGGAGACAAAGAAGCCACACTAGGACCACAGGCAATTCTGAGCCCTAAGGAACTGCGGGTGGGGGCTGGCATGCAGGTCCCTGCAGCCACGATTCTGATCGCCCCCGGAAGACTGCGATGAATGAATGTGGCCCTTCCTTCCGAGGTTTCTCCAAACTTTGGATATTTTGTCTTGGGCGATGAAGAAAGGAGGGCAAGTGTCAGCATGTTTGTGTCCTGCAAGGAATGTTTAAGAAAGTAAAAGCAACCTTGTACTGGTCACTGCTGACCTCAGAAATGACATTTCTGCTGTTGTTGCACTAAGAGAGACAGAGACAATTAATTGGGCCATGCGCAGGAAGCCCTGGCTTTTGATGAAGTGGTCTTAGGTGCGGGCAAGCCAATAGGAGCTGAGGCCACAGGCCAGTGAGGACTAGGTCCCAGCAGCCTGCCTGCAGCTGCAGAGAGCAGCCAGGAGCCCTGTCACATTGTGTCCTGCCTCCTGGTAGTGGTGGTGCACATGCCATGACTTCTTCCTTTGATCCCTGAAAGCCCAGTAAATAGGTCTCTCTCTCAATCTTTCAGTTGACTTATGTGGGAAGGTGGGAAGGTGGTGAGAAAGGGCCTCTACCCCGACCGCTTTATTTCTCCAGTGTGTTTCAGTCTGTAGGGGGCAAACCATTAGTGGGGAGAGAAATAAATTTAGTAGGTCGTGACCAGCATTTTATAACATGAACTAGAACAGAATGTAGTAGAACACATTGACTGTAGTAGGGGCTGACTATTGCTTCATGAGAGAGAGGTGGATGCAGGGTTGCAGGAGAAAAGCCATTACTCTGGGGTGCATTCAGCGACATCTTGAAGCCACTGGCTAGCTGATTCCAGGGGCTGGCACTAGCTGGGCAGGGCGCTTCTGCTGCCTAGGTTTATCCTGGGCTCTGGGGTCCAGTCCCAGGCCGAGTTGTCCCTCCAGAGAAAAATGAGTCCCAAAGAAAGGTGCTTGTGATGTGTGTCCCTTTGAAAGAGGCATTTTTTGGTGTCAGTCAGGCCACTGAGGCTGGAAGCCCCTGCTGGAAGGAAAAGGCATTCCTACCCTTGGCTGTCATTGTCAGCTGGAAGGTGTCCAGTCAGACTCTGCAGGCTGCTTGTGAACGGGGACACTGGACTTGGAATCCCCAATTCTGGTTCTCATCTTGGGCCTGCCACTCACTGCTGTGCCACTCAGGGACAGCGACTTACCCTTTCTGGGCTTCGGTTTATTCGTGTGCAAGGGGAGAACTGGACCAGGTAAATTTTTTCCTAAGGCTTTGTTTTGTTCTTATATCTGTTTCAAGGAGACACAGAAAACTTGGATCTTGGAGGAAATCACAAAAGGGAAGCCAGTATTGCTCCCAGCTTCTCCCTAAGGCTTCTGGAAGCAAAGGTGTAGTTAGCCCGAGGTGCACCAGCTAGGTGTGTCTGTAGACCCTGGCGTGTGTGTAGGTGGGGGCGGGGCAGCGAATGGCTGCCCCCTGGCATCGCTCAGGGTCTACGATGACAGAGGCAGCTGAGCCTGAGCCTGGTCTCCATGGACAGCATTTATTAGGCGCCATTCTCAGTGTGAAGACAGATAGGCAGGAGGGGCTCAAAGGAGGCCGTGGCAGCCGCAGCCTTTGGGGTCCAGGGGCTGCCCGGGGTAGGGGTGTGGGCGTGGGGGCATGTCACCCACACGTATTGCATATTCTGTGGCAGTGTGCCCAGGCATAAGGCATTGGGGAAGCAGAAAGGCTGCCTGCAGCGGGAGGGGGAGGGGAAGCAACACTGGCCTTCCAGTGGCCTGGGAAAGGCCTGGCCGGAGGAGACCAGAGACCAAGAGGTCTGCCACGCCCAGCCCAGGCCATTCAGCCTCCTTCCCCACCATCTCCCTGCAACTTTGGTTGTGGCTCCCTCGGGACTGACGGGACGGGACCCCTCGAGGGCAGGGTCACATACAGGACAGAGGCAGCCAGCACTGCTCCCCACTCCGACATAGACACAGAGGGCGCCCCCGGCTCCTGGGCCCTGCTCTCCTTGGCACGTGGACAGCCAGCCCCTCCACACCGAGACAGGACTCACACACAGGCCAGGCCTGGCTTCTTCCCTCCCAGGGGTTCCCAGAGGCTGAGCACATGGCCGGGGCTGGGCTAAGGCTGGTCACGCTATGGGTCCCCTACTCCAGCTTTCCTGAAGGCCAGGGTTGGCCTTGCTCAGCAGTGTTAAGGAGCTGACACGGGAACAGCACTAGGGCAGTCTGAGCGGGGAGAAGCCCCTCACTCACCCCTTGATGCCATCCTAAGTCACAGCACTGGCTCCAGCTGCGGGCCCCCATCTGCTGCTCTCCGTCTGGGCTTCTGGGTTGCAGGTGGGGTAGGCAGCGGGCACACCGACTCTAAATCCTCCACCTGGGAGGGGCATTCTTTGGTGTAGTCTTAGCTTATTTCTAGCCCCTTGGGACAGAGGCACCAGCACTGGCTGTGGGGTCAGGGGTAAGGTCCCACTGGGATGGGTCTGCTAGGTCTGTAGGCTGCTCTATCCAAACCCAAGCTTTTAGAGCCCCAGCTCCTGGACCTTTCTCCATGAGACCCATCCCTGCTTGCTTTGGTCCCAAGGGCTTCCTTGCTTATAACTGGGCAGTCTAAGGGGTCCTTGCTTGCCTCAGGGGCCCATTCCGAGCCCTGGCCCCTGGCCACATAGAGCAGAGGCTGAGCCCCACTACTGGCTCTATCCTGGGTTCTGGGCCCTGTTTTAGGCCCCAGATGCCCACACGACACGTGTACAGGGCAGAAGCTTTGCCTTCAATAGCAGGCAGAGGAGTCGGAAGGGAAGAGCGCTCAGCCTGGGGCCAAGCAGCCTGGGTTCTTGTTCCCCTTTGCCTTTTGCTGTCTGTGTCACCTTGGGCACATCACAAAGCCTGTCTAGGTCTCATTGTCATCTGTAAAAGGGGGATGAGAACTCCTGCCCTGGTGATGTAACTGGAGTGTGTGAGACTCAGATGATGAGGAGTCAGGATAAGGTTTTCAGAGGCTGAGACTCATTCCACAGACATCGGAGCTGGCAATGGCGAGAAGTGGCCACGGTGGCAAGTAGGACGGTTTCTGTCTGATCCAAGGGGAGGGTCTGGAAGGCTGGACACCCCCAGCCCCGCCCCCTTTGAGAATCTGACTGGAGGCCACTTAATTCTCACCTGCCAGCGGGACCACCCTGCAGAGGGGAGGGCTGTTGCCTCTCCCCTCCCTCCCCTGCCCCTCCTGGAGCCTGCTTGTCCTTGCTTCTGCCTGCCTGCCCTCTGGGATCTAGCTTTAGGGACTGCTGGGTTTCCACTTTCTCCATAACTGCAAAGCCATGCAAAACAACACAGAAGGTCGTGGGAGCTTGGGAGACACAACGAGGGACAAGGAAGGGGAGTGGACTGAGTAGGGGCGACCTGGACAAAGACACCCTGGCTTTTGGAGCCAAGGGAAGGCGGGAGACCTGGCAGGACAGAGGTATAAATAGAGATGCAAACGTACACGGAACACAGGAAGTCCCCTCCGGCTGGAGGAGGTGGGGGTGGGGGAGTCTTGGGTACCAGCAGGGCCTCTGAGAACTGGGGAGCTCCTTAGATTTCCACAGGGATGCGAGGCTCCCAGCTTCTGCCTTCCCCTCCCCTCCCCCCAAGTTTCACATTTCTCGGAATTTGCAGGGCGCAGATAGGGGCTCCAGGGGTCCTCAGAGCCCCAGCTCCTGCTGGCTGGTGCGAGGAGGCACAGTTGGAGAGATGGGGGAGAGGGGATGTGGGGAGGGTGGTGAGGGGTGTGTAGGGTGCCCCACGGGCTGAAGGCGGCTAGGCGGCCCCTGGCCACCCCTGCTGCTCCTGAGAGCAGGAACCGCGCCTGGCCCGCGTTCCCAGAAGCGCCAGGCCCCGCGGGGCGTTCACACGGAACTCCTGCGCTTCATGAGGCCGCGGAAGGTGGACAGGCTGTGCAGGCCTGTGGACACGGAGCTGATGGCGGAACGCTGCGCCCCACTGCACAGGCAACGGTGCGAGGGCGTGTCGCTGTAGCGGCCGCCCCCTCCCGGCGACGAGTGGCTCTGCTCGACGCAGGTGTCGGACGTGGAGAGGTCCCGCGGGATGATCATGGGGATGGAGTACTGCAGCTTCTCGCGGCTCTTGTACCAGAGGCACGAGCACATGGACTGGAAGTGCAGCACCTCTGCGTAGACATTTCGGAAACCACCGCCGCCGCCTGCCGCGGCCGTGGACGATGCGGTCTCGGTGGTGTGCGCACTGCCGTCCGCGCCCGCACCGCCCCCGCCGCCGCTCCCGCCCGCCTGCCCGTTGCGGGTGAGCAGCGCGCGGTGCTCGGCGTCGCGCTTCTCGTCCTCGGCGTTCATGGTCATGAAGCGCAGCACCACGAGGTTGAGGAAGGCGCCGATGACCGTGAGACCCGTGAGGATGTAGACGAAGCTGAAGGCGACGTACTGCGGCTGCGTCTGCAACGCTTGGTCCTTCTGCAGCGCCACGTAGTCGCCGAAGCCGATGGTGGTGAGCGTGATGAAGCAGTAGTAGTAGGCCTGGAAGAAGGTCCAGTGCTCGTAGTAGGAGAAGGCGGCGGCGCCGATGCACAGCGTGCTGATGCACGAGAAGAAGCCAATGAACACCATGTTGGCCATGGACACGTCGGCGCGCCGCATGCCCAGTCCCCTCTTGGCGCGGTGCAGCAGGTACTTCACAAAGGTGTTGATGCGCTCGCCCAGGCTCTGGAACATGACCAGTGTGAGCGGGATGCCCAGCAGCGCGTAGAACATGCAGAACACCTTGCCGCCATCCGTGCTGGGCGCTGCGTGGCCGTAGCCTGGAGAAGGCGGTGGAAGAGGAGAGAAAGCAAGAGCTATGGCGCTGCTCTTCCAGAAACCCTGCCCCTCCCCGTCTGTGTTCTCTGCCCTACACCTCCCCCACCTTGTGGCATCTGGCCTTTCCCTCCTTCTAGCCAAAGAGAAGAGAAAGCACAGTTATGGGGTTATACTTGTCCTCACACGCAGTGCTAGCTCCTTGCTGTTGCTTTTTCGTTTACTCTTGTGGCAACTCCATAGTGTTGGTAGGTCGCACTGCTTGGAAGCAGAGCAACCTGTGTTTGAACTGTTTGGCCTCAAAGACCTGACCTGTTTTTTCTACCTAGAGAGGGAGCTGACCTGTGGGGCTGTTGGGGACTTCACCTAGAGGCAGAGGGATGCTGTGAAGGGTACTGGCAAGTCGGCCAGGAGATCTGGGCTCTACTTTGTGTCTATGGGCTTTGCTCCCGTTCCTTGTCGGCTCTGGGCCTCAGTTTCCTTGACTCTAAGGGAAGTTTGTACTAAATGGCTGCGACATCCTGTGATTCAGTGTGGAGGGAGGGAAACTGAGGCACGGATGGCTCCTTGATGACTCCCTCGGAGATTTCTCCACACCCCCCAGTCTCCCTGAGGCAGGCAGCCCACTGGTACCAGAGAAGGAGAAGGGAGACAGTGCCTGCTCCCGACCCCCCAGCTGGATGAATTAGTGCTTCCGGGGCCTCATCAGCCCCCAGTCTGGGCCTCAGGGTCATTCTCTGTGCCTGGCCCCAAAGTAGGGTCTAGCCTCATGGGGGGAGTGGCATTGCCCTTGTCAAAGCAGGAGCCTCGGTGTCCTTCCAGATGTGACTACCACTAGCTAGACAACCCCAGCCCTTGCCTCCACGCACCCCAGCGGCCCCACCAGCCCTCACAGAGCCCAGGAGCCAGACAGAGGCAAACTGTTCCCCCTGAATCAACCATCACATGGTCTTTAGTCAAGAGTTCTTTCCGGAGACCTGGGGGTAGAGGACCCTACATGGGAACTCAGACCTGGACAGAGTTTCTGATCCTGTCACTAATGGCTGTGTGAGCTTAGGCTAATTATGCCCCTTCTCTGAGCATGTTTCCTCATTTTTCAAATGAGGACGACTGGTCCTCGCTCTTGTTCCTTTTTTGGGCTGTTATTTATTACTTGTATTAATGGGATAATTATAATAAAATAATGCTGGCAGTCTTTCCAATTTTTCCCCCTTTCCAACCCTTATCAAAACTTAAACAAATGCTGCTTCTTCCATGCACTTGTTCGGGATTCTCCACAGCTGGCAGTCATCTCTGCTTTGAGTGGCACAGAGGGTTCAGCTTTGAACTCCAGGGCCAATACTACTGCCACCCCCTGCTCTGCCCCCCAGGGCCACCAACAACATATATACAGCAAGACGCTACTAGCCTAGGGTGGTAGGGTGGGCACTACTGGACCTTGTCATGTTCCTTTCTAGTTCATGCCCAGGAGACGTGCCCAAAACACATTTGATGAGATAGGGCAAGATACTGTGTGCTTTGGTGTCTGATATGAATTCAGATTTTTACTCTGTCATGGACTGTGTGTGTTTCTTAAACCTCTCTAAGCCTTAGTTTCCTCATCTGTAAAATGGGGCTAATAAGCAGCACCTGCCTCACAGGGCTTTTGGGAAGAAATAGTGAGATAATATATTTAATGCACTTAGCTTTGGTACATATCAAGTGCTCAAAGCTCACTCTGATGAGTACGGGACGAAATGCCAGATTGCCCTCACATTGCCAAGAGAGCACCTGCTCTGGGGGGCAGCTCAGTTCCAATAGAGTGGGCATCTCTGTCGGCCCACGGCCACTTGAGGCTTAAAGCTCAGGGAGGTCTGAGGACAGCTGCGTGGGGTATGCAAGGCTGTGGGCTACTCCCAGAATGGGCAGCCCTGCCTCCCCAACCCCAGCATCTAGCTGGTGACTGTGTCATCCTTTGCCAGGGGGCCTGGACAGCTGAGCGGGAGAGCCACCACGCCCGCCTGTCCATGTCTCAGCAGAGCGAGAACAGATTGTGCCCGCCAGCCCAGCTATGGCAGCCAGATCACAACTCACCTCGACAGCTGGGCAGGCCCTGAGCCAGAGCTGCTTCTCATCCTGTCCTTCCCTGTCCCCCAGGCCGGCACACCGCACAGGGTGTGGGGAGGGGCGTGGCACCGGGGATGGGGCTGGATGGGGATTGGGTGGCATGGGCCCAGCCCCAGCTTGACTACATGCTGGCTGTGCAACCTTGGGTGAATCCATCCCCCTCTCTGGACCCCTCTTCACCATTCTGCATTCTCGGGGGTGGGGGTTGAACTACAGCTTTAATCCCTGCCCTGGCCGCCTGGCGGAGCAGTCTTCAGGGGTAGAGGAGAGACTGGGTGTGAAGGTACTTTGGAACCTGTGGGAGTTCGCGACAGAAGCAGCAGTGATGGGACCTCACGGAGAAGCTGGCCTGAGAGTGCAGTCCTGGAGGCGGGGGACATCTCTGTGGGGTCAGGCAACCATGTCCCACCATCAGGGAGAAGGACCCCCTCTGGCACCCCCCCCCCCCCCCCCCCCAGTGTGTGTTCATAGCCTGTGATTTCTCCTGGCCCACTGTCCTTTAGGAAGACCCCGCACGCACCTACCTGGCAGCCTCACTGCCCGCTGTGGGCCACCCACAAAGCTCCCAGCTTCAGGGGAACTCTCCCCGCTCAGAACACAGAGCACATCCCAGCAGACAGGACAGCCACCTTCTTCCCCGTGCGCTCCTCACAGCGTCCTCCCCAGGCGCCTGCCTGCCCCGGGCCTGAGTGAGTGCCCTCCTGCTTCCCCCATCTCCCGGCCAGAAGTGCCTGCCTCCTGCTGAATGTCGTGGTTTCCAAAGCAAGTGGCGGGCGCATCCAGGCTTAACGAGGGCTCCTACTGGGCCAGGGCCTCAAGCCTCACTCCAGCCACTGTCCTGTCCAGGGCGGCCCCAGCCTGGATGTGCCTTACCCTTGGGGTTGGATGCCCCCGGGGTCCACCCTCATTTTCTACCACAGGCTGAGGCTTAAGGTCTTACCTTTCAGGTCCATTTTTAACTTTAATTCTCAAAAACGTCCTACGAGTTTGTTACTACAACAATCTCCACTTGCTAGTAATAAAGGCTGGAGAGGGCTTGCGAGTGGGCCAGGCCTCTAGGATTTTCTGACTCATCCCTCGTTCCAATGCCTCAGAGCCAATTCATCACCCCGGAAGGGGGACTAGGATGGGAACGGGGTCCCCAAGAAGGGAGCACTCCACCGGGGGCCTCACCGTCGGGCACTTCCCCCGAGCTGGACATGGCAGAAAAGGCAACAGGAGCACAATGCACAGGGAGCCAGACGCTGCTCCAAGTATTGGCCCAGGGTCAGCACACCCCTGCCCTCTGCCTGTTCTACTGTCACTGGGTGAAAGGACAAGGGAGCTGTGAGGACCTGCTGACGTGGGCGCTGTGCTTGGAGGGGCGCCAGCTGGGGCGGAGCCACTCCCCGGGGACCCTGGAAGGTCTGGGAAGTGACTGGGAGTTTGGTAAGGCCCGTCTGCCTGCCAGGTGGCCCACTGCCTGCCTGGTGCATGCCCACGTCAGGCCTGGGTTTACGAGGGAGAGCGGGGCAAAAGGTAGCCGCCATCTTCTTCCTCTTGCCCAGCCCTGCGTCTCCTGGTGAGGGGTTCCATCTGTCCTTGTGTGTCACCGATACACATGGAGGCTGCCATCTGGAGACCCTCCTTCACACTGTCCAAGGGACTGAGCAGCCAGAACTCTTGCCCAGACTCCAGCCGCTACCTCTCAGAGCGCTGACAAGGGCTGCCCCCCACCCCGCCTCCCCCGGACACCCTGCCCGAATCCACCACCAACGTTGAGGTTCTAAAGGCCAGAGAGGCCCTTAGCCATCATATGGCTCAGTTCTTACATTGTAGAGGTGGAGAAATGGAGGCCCAGAGAGGGAAAGCGACCTTCTCAAGGTCACACAGCTAGTGAATGGCAGAATCCGGACTGCAGCCCAGGATACTCAGTCCTGACCTCAATGCTCTGTCCTCTGCCCTCTGGCTTAGTATGACTAAGGTTGACCTGTTCATGCCGCCAGCATCCAGCAGTCCTTGAGAGGGAGCAACCCAGCTAAGAGATGCTCCTGGAACCTAGCTGGAGGTGGGTAATTCACCTGGGTAAGCTAGATGGCTGGACATAAATACTCGTTATCAATATTTGGGAGCAGAAGGAAAAATGAGGAGACAGGCAGCCCTAGGCCTTGGTTCTTCTGTTTCCCTCCCAGCATCGCCAAGGAGCTCAGAAGCTAGCCGGAGCGCTGCCTTCTAGGGAGGGGCAGAAGCCTGGGGGTCCAGCCGTACCTCTTAGTGGGCTTTCCCTCCCTGCGGCCTATTTCCTTCTAGTCAAAGTACAAGTAGCCAGCCTGAGGCTTGGAAATGGCCTTGGTTGGACTGGGCTCAGCTGCCTGCTCCCCACTGACCTCAGATGCCTGCTCCCCATTGATTCATGTGCCCGCCAGCCTAAGTGGCTGACCTCGTGCCACAAAGCCTGGCCACCACCATGGGTGGGGAAAGAGCATGGGGCGAGAAGGCAGGAGATCGGGGCTCTGACTGGACCCTGACCGAAACTGGCTTTCCTTTTCCTTCTCTGGCCTTAATTTTCCTCATCTATGACATGGGAGGATAGGGCAAGAGAAAAGATTCCCACTTTTCCCCCTTGCAATGGGTCCCTTTTATTATTTTTTTCTGTTCGCTCACACAGAGCCTACATTTTGAAAGATTTGATTTATGAAGTACAATGTGTCGATGAGCACAGTGTAGCTGCTACATAGGCACCGAATAAATAATTGTGACAACAATAATTATTTTTCCCATCAAAAGTAATTAAGAACACATCTGCCCATCAAAACTTCTGATTAGCCTGGGATAACTGACTTTATGGGACTGAAGGGAGTTATTGTTATGCTTTTGAAATACTGAAAACAGGTGTTTCTATTTTCTGCAGGGCATCTGT